CTTTATTATCTGTATCATTATTATTGTTTTTGTTATTATTATTGTTATTATCATTATTATTATTATCATTATTATTATTATTATTACTATCATTGTTACTATTACTATCATTATTATTATCATCATCATTTTTATTATTATTATATCAATATGAGGATAATGTTTATCAAAACCTAAAAGTTTAAAATTATGAAATTTTGTCAAGTTTTATTTCCATCTTTCTACGTAGAGGTATCGTACTCGGCCAGATTTGGTCGCAACAGGCTGGTGTTGTTGGGGCAGACCGCCACACATAAATAATCTGAAATGTTCTGTCGACATGGATGCGTCACATCAAGTACAACAACTCGGTAGATACTTCTATTTCCCAAGTACGCTTTCACAAACAAATACATCCCCAGAGGGCTCAAACATCTGAGCGGCTCATAAAATGGTGCTCCCCACTCAATGAAATACGGTTGAAAGCAATGGCGAACTGTCAAAAAAAGAAAGAAAAATTAAAGAATTCCAGCGTGAAAAGAACAGACCTCAAATGGCTGCCACGCTTCATGCATAGAGTATAGAAACGTCGTGAATAGCAGGATTTTGGAAATAACCGACGTAGCACAGTGCACGCCCTTGTCAATATTAGAAGACTGGATAAATCATGTGTATTCCAATTGCATTCAGTATATTTCTCATTTCATATCTCGCAGTTTCAAAAGACCCAAAAAGGTGAATAACACAAACAAGATAATCACGGGGTTAAAAATAAAAGAAGAACGGCCTTAACCATGTCGTCGGAAAATATTGTTTGCAAAATTATCCCCAGACGTATTTATTGATTGTTTCCTCTACATATTTTTTTCTTTTGCTCATTTAGATCTGACGAACACATAAAACACAAACGCCCAGATGCAGACGATCACCCGATCACACATATAGTAACCTCTTCATATCTGACAAGCGCGTAAATACAAAGCCACGTACACAGGACCACTTTCTTCTGACGGCAAAACGAAGTTCAAAAATCGTGTTCTCCTCCACTACACCCCTCCTCCCCTCCTCCTAACACACACACACACACACACACACACACACACACACACACACAGACACACACACATACACACACACACGCACACTCATACACACACATAAACACACATACACACTTACAGACATGCAGACACAAATTCAGACAAACACACACAGACACACAAACACACGCTCACACATACTTACAGACACACACACTCGAACATAAACACCCTTCCTCCTCACCCTAACTTTTTTTATTGCAGCAAACACAATTCACCTTGCATTGCCCAGTGCCTTCAAAATAACACCAAACACCAATAGTAAAACCTTACAGCAGTGTGATGGGTCACTGGAACCTACCGTGCGAGATCAATAGCCAATAGCCAAAAGGCAACCAATTTGGTGATTGAATTCGTTCTTGATACCGTCTCTCTCTCTTTTCAGTCCGGGAGGGCATTCATTTCTTTATTCAGAGCCATGAAGGCACCAGGAATCTGAACACCCCGCCTATGTGCTAAAGTGAATTATAAACTGTGACGAACTGTTTCATACTCATACATTACTCTAAGATTACCCCCTACGCCCTCAGTTGTACAAATTATTATCTTATTTACAATTTGTATTATATATTGATGTTGTTTGCTTTTGCTGGTGGCGGTTGTTGTTATTGTTGTTGCTGTTGTTATTGTTGATGTTTTTGTTCTTCTTCTTCTTCTTCTTCTTCTTCTTCTTCTTCTTCTTCTTCTTCTTCTTTGTACTGGCCCTCTCACCTGAGTGTCAAACGGGTAGTAAGTGACCACAATCTCACAAGACGTTGCCACTAATACACTCGGGGACCACTGCAACTGTCCGTCATAATTTAGGCGAATAGGGAGCTCTTTGAATCTGGGAGAAAGAAAGAGAATGAGAGAATGCTCTGATGCAGCGGTGTCAAACTCAACCGCCAGGGTGGGGTAGGAAAGGGGGTAGGTAGTGGGGGGGGGGGGGGGGGACTCAGATTCCACTTACGCATGCGGGCCGAATTGATGAACACTTTGGAAACTGGAAACTAAACTTTTTCTTAAGCAATGATATAAATTAAAACAGACAATGGATAAAATAATAACAAATCAAGGCATATTAAGTTTTGTTCTAATGGCAATTTGTCAGAGTTGGATGTTTGACATCTTTTCTTGTTTCTGTTTAGGGTAACGTTTTGTATTTCATATATAAATATTCTGGATAAACTACATTAAATTCTCTTGCGGGCCTTATAATATATTATGATTGTTCCACCGGCTGGATGCGCCCATGAAACCTATTTGATCTGAAGGCTTTACCCGTAGGTCATTTAGGTCGCTGCGTGGCTGAGAATTCAAAACGAGCATAATATACAGGTGAATTTATTTTTAGTCTTCAGCTTGTGGCTCAGATCGCGAAGGAAAAGCAATGAGAAGAGGGTTTTAGATAGATAGATAGATAGATAGATAGATAGATAGATAGATAGATAGATAGATAGATAGATAGATAGATAGATAGATAGATAGATAAACAGGGGAGCGAAAGGTGGCAGAGGAAGAGAGCAGGTACTTTGTAATAGCGCTGGTACAGACAGCCTGACAGACAGCCTGACAGACAGACAGACAGACAGACAGACAGACAGACAAACATATCGATATATAACTGGACAGACAGACAGACAGACAGATGCACAGACAGACCACTGTATAACTGTACAGACAGACAGACAGACAGACAGACAGACAGACAGACAGACAGACAGACAAGTACCCCATCTGCTGGTGGGCCTGCACGCTGTTCCCAACGATGACGTCTGGCACCCAGAGATTTTCCTGCTTGACCAGAATGCTCTCAATCCCGCCGTAGTCGGTGGGCAACCACTCCAGGAAAGAGTCATCCCAGTACAGGTCGACGCGGGCGTTGGTGATCAGAGTCTGAGACTGTTCGTCCACCTGTTGTGTTTATATTGTTGTAATTACTGTCGTTATGATTGATAGGGTGGACAGACAGACAGACAGACAGACAGACAGACAGACAGACAGACAGACAGACAGGCAGGCAGACAGGCAGACAGACAGACAGACAAATCAATATTCAAATAGAAAGACAGACAGAGAGACGCATAGACAGATCAAAATAATATAACTAGAAAGACAGACAGACAGACACACAGACAGACAGACAGACAGATAGATAGACCATATAAGTTGACAGGTAGACAGACAGACAGACAGACAGACAGACAGACAGACAGACAGACAGACAGACAGACAGACCAATATGTACATATAAGTAGACAGACAGACAGACAGACAGATATGAAAATAGCGGCGGCCAACTGTTCAAGTGTATTAAGCCCGATTTGTTTATTTTTGTTTTAAATTGTACTTTTAATATGTGGTATCGGTTCCATATGCTCAAGAATATTTTGTCGGATTCATCTCCTAAATGTTGATTTAAAAGAAAAGAAAAATGTTTAAAGTAAGTGTACATTGTTAATTAATGAAACTTTTTTTTCTCTCTCATGATTATTTGGTTTTGTGTAGAGCACGAACCTTTTGGGCATTGAATCTATTAGATTTGGGACATGATGATTACCTGTCATTTCACCTCAAATGTCACTGAAAACAATGGCACTGAACTGGGAGCAAAGTCACTTTTTCAGTTGCTGTTTTATGGAAATTCACATTTAAGTAGGATTCGTATCGGGATATCAAGGTGACCACTCCAACTTTGTTATAATTTGGTTTTCCAAGAACTGTTTATGGGCAATGGCCCTGTGAGCAAATGTTTTGCTATGCAGGGAGATGTCTACTTGAATGACACCATGATGAAAATAATTGTTAGACGTGACGTTCCAGCACTTGCGTGATGCAGTCCACTAAACCAAGCCATCCATCTCACTGACAGATGACTATGTCCAAAACATAACACAATCCATGTGCAAAAAAAGGTTTTGTGCTCTACATGAACCAATAGCTCCAAAGCAAAAGCAAAATTATGCACGTTTACATGTGAGTTAAGTACGGGTTTTGCGTAGTATTTGTGACTGTTCTGTTTTTCCAATCTGTTTGAAAATGTCACGAGAAGACCCTGTTCTTTGCAAATTTTCATTTGATATTCAAAACGTGTCCGTTCCACCAATGTTGACCACGAATGTCGACGCACCTCAATATACGCTCGAACACACTTTTACGTTGTTGTTTTTTTGTTTTGTTTGCACAACTTTGCCAAGCCTGATTTTTTAGGTCAATTTTGAGTAACTATATCTCTGGCGTCTCTTAACGTAGATGAAATATTAACGTGCAACATGATGAAGAATTTATATTTATTTAAGTTGGTATGCTGCATGAGTAGGTTTTGCAATGCTATAACATGATGGTTGGGTGATTACATTTTCCAGTTTCTTTTGGACACCAGTATATAATTTGATATACAATATATAGAAACAGGCACAGGCGCATATTAGAAAGACGGATAGACAGATAGATAGATAGATAGATAGATAGATAGATAGATAGATAGATAGATAGATAGATAGGTGAAACATACCTCAACTAGGGACATCAGACTGAACGTCATGAAAATGTCCACTGGAAGACTCGTGTTGCTCACGGGGCGAACATTTTTGTTGTAGTTGACGGAAGAGAAAAGAAACGAGTGGAGCTGATATGCTTCATCCTTAGTGGCTGCTTGGCATGGGGGCAGGAAGCAGGAACATAGGAGTGGCAACAGCTGAAGCAGATACGCCAAGCGCATATTCTACCTGTGGGTTGTAGTGGTCGTGATGGTAGTAATGGAGGCCGTAGTGGTTGTGGGATTGGTAGTGGTTGGGGTGGTGGTGGTAGTGGTGGTGGTGTTTTTTTCAGCGTTGTTGATGTGTGGTGACTGTCTTTCCCCCACGCAGGACATTATTACTATTGTGATTTTTTAAAGATATTACTGCTGTTGGCAGTTATTGTTATGTTGTTTTTTTATTGTAGTAGTAGTAGTAGTAGTAGTAGTAGTAGTAGTAGTAGTAGTAGTAGTAGTAATAGTAGTAGTTGTTGTTGTTGTTGCTGTTGTTGTTGTTGTTGTTGTTTTTCTTGATGTTTTGTTGTTGGTTTTTGTTGTTTGGTGGCTTTCTTTCCTCTTGTTATACGAGCTAACTGTACAGACTAGAGTTCAGGAATCCCTCGTCTTGCTCGGAGAGCCACAGATCCTAAATTAATAACGGCAAAATCAAAAGGCCACTGTCGAGTATGGCAACACTTTGAGAAATGTTACATGAGTTATTAAAAGTTTAAATTTATTTACTGAAACTGAAACGAATAGGGTAAACCTAAGCAAATTCGGACTGTTCACAAAGAGATCATTTAGGAGGCAGGCTTCGATCCTGCCTTTTATGGCCAGTCCTTATTTTAAAAGAATACAACATCCAAGCAGAAAGACCCAGATACGTGATAAAGAGGCATTATTATAAAGATGTAAGTATGAAAATATCACACAGTTATCTGATTAAAGAGACTTACGATTTAACACCCCACTCTAAGATAAACGTACCCATGCGAAAAACCACGAAGAAAATCCCATCAAACAACTTAACTGCCCAATATGCATTCGAATCAGAATCATCTCCATAGTAGTTCAGCCATATTACCAACTTAGCTTCCTACCGTTGTGTTTGCTCACATAATCTGAAAGCATTGCATTGAACATCACATAAGTGGCAAATAAATAATTGTTTCTTTTTTTTCCTTTTAAGAAAAGTTAGAATTTTAAAAATAATGAAGAATGCTTATATCTAATAAATTTGTAACAACGTTGGGAACTTTAATGCATAGATAATATGTCCGTACCCAAGCATGTACCCATACATGTACTTGCATGCGCGAAGAGAGAGAGAGAGAGAGAGAGAGAGAGAGAGAGAGGGGGGGGAGAGGGAGAGAGGGAGAGAGGGAGACAGAGAAAGGGAGAGAGAGATAGCGAGAGAGAGAGAGAGAGAGAGAGAGTGAGAGAGAAAGAGATTCAAAATGATTTATTGATTTGAAAGGCCTTTGGCCCATACATCCATATATTTTAACATATGGTTCGGCAATTACATACATTGGAGCAGCACATTGGATGTGTAACATAAATTGGACATGCACGCCCACATACACGCATACACGCACGCATGCACACTCGCACACACGCACACACGCACGTGACGCACGCGCATACACACATACACACTCATACTCACACACATACTTACATACATACATACATACATACATACATACATACATACATACATACATACATACATACATACATAGAGAGAAAGAGAGAGAGAGAGAGAGAGAGAGAGAGAGAGAGAGAGAGAGAGAGAGAGAGAGAGAGAGAGAGAGAGAATCACTACATGTATTTGTCAAGTATGGTGCACGTGCTCTTTGTTTTCTTGATATAAAACGGACTGAGCACTTTCTTTGTCGAAGTGCACTAGAGAAGCAAAATTTATTATAATTATAATAATAATAATAATAATAATAATAATAATAATAATAATAATAATAATAATAATAACAATAACAACAGTAATAATAATAACAATAATAATATTATTACTGTTGTTATTGTTATTATTATTATTATTATTATTATTATTATTATTATTATTGTAGTTTTTATTGTTATCATTATTATTACTATTATTATTATTATTATTACAATTAATTATCTATTATTATCATTAATATCGACAATGATAATAACAGTAAAAATAACAATTGTTATTATCATCATTAGTACTGTTAGCAGTTATAATAGTAGTAGCAACATTAGTATTATTATTATTGCATGTTCAGAACAAAAGTCTGGTGTCTTCCATCCACATGAAAAGAACAATTAATACTTGCGTTTTAAAAAAAAGTCTCTGACAGCTACGAAATAAAAGTCGGACCACAGTAAAAAAAAAAGAGAGCAATAATTCGTTTTAATTAAAACAGGAATTGCCAAAAACATGAATTAAATATACTTTGACTTACCAGTAAATTGATCCCACTGTACACTGTATTAAATTAAATACATCCGAAGAATAACACATTAGTTTAGAGCTGTAAACTTTAGACGTCTCTCTCCAGTTTGAAAAAAAAACAACAACCACAATATACCGATATGAAATATAAACGTTCAATGAATAAGACCCTAACGGATAAAAAATTTCAAAACTGAATGCTATAGAAAACCTCTTAGAATATCATATCACGCAGATAGAAAATAAAGAATGAAAAAGTTCAAAGAAGAAATTCTTAGAAAAGCCAAAACGTGTCTAGTCTGCCAGAACGTAATGAAACTGAATCAAATCACTCTGTACATAATTATCAAAAGCCGTGATTCACACGAGAAGCATAAAAATATTCAGATTGGAAGTAAAGGTAGATGGTAAAAGAAGAAGGGAGAGACCTTACAGAAGATTGGAGTAAGACCTAGAAATCTAGAAACAAGGCCCAAGGTTGCCTCTTAAAGGAGCGTTTCGTCGATGTGCACTGAGTCACGCAAAACTCACTCGCCAGAAGCCGTTTGGTGTGACTATAGTGCCAACAAACCAACAGGGCATGACATGGGTTGGTGAGTGTTTTGGTGGGAGGGAGGGGGGACTCGGGGTCCGAGACGGCGCGGGGGCTTGTGTATGTGTGTGTGTGTGTGTGTGCGCGTGTGTGTGTGTATGTGTGTGTGTATTTGTGTGTGTGTGTGTGTGTGTGTGTGTGTGTGTGTGTGTGTGTGTGTGTGTGTAAAATTATGCATTTTTCAAAAGCTGGCACACACAAGAGCATCCAATTAAACCACGAAGAAATCTAATTAAGCAAAATGGGACATGCTTAACGTGGCAGTATGAAAAACACATCAGTTCAAATCCTTGGACCACATAAATCGAATTAAATAGCGTGGAAGAAAAATAAACACGGTATATTGTCATTCTTTTTTTCCTTTCTTTTGCTTTTTCTCTCAGGAACTCGTTCAAATGTTAAACTTACGGGCAGGTGATAACACATTAGAACATCAAAGTGCATCAGATTTAAACTTTCTCGTGATCGCCTTTGAAGTGCAAACTCTCTTAAAGTGTCCTAAACAGTCCGCTTCTCTTGCAAACTGTATGCAGCCAACCTGGTTTGGAATAAAAACAACTGAGGCAGGTAGAATTGCAAGAGACAGGGAGAACTTTATTTCAGAAAGGTCCGAATAGCAACATCAAACTATTAGAAAGGCTAAGAATAAGAAAAAAAGAAGCAAAGAAGCAAAGAAGCAAATCTATCTATCTATCTATCTATCTATCTATCTATCTATCTATCTATCTATCTATCTACCTATCTATCTATCTTTCTATCTATCTATCGATCTATCTATCTATCTATCTATCTATCTATCTGCTTTGCGCGGTCTTGTCGTTGATGAATGTAATAAACCTCAAATCGGTATAATTATTAAATTATAAACTCAAAGGACTGAAACAATCCCTCGTTTTTTTGGAATCGACACTACAACAGCGCCTTTTATCTTAACACAGAGCCGACCCCTCGCTAATGGGGTGTTTATTTTTCAGACAAAAAAAATAGAAAATCCTTTAAAGTGGAAGCCGGTGGACAATTCAATCAGAGTGATAAACAAGCAAAATGATTAAGTGACATATTGATTGCCAAAATGCGTGAGATCAAGAGTGAGGAAGAGCTGTGAGAGATCAATGAAACGTTTGGTGAACAAGAACATATGGGTTTTTCATTGTCACACGACAAATAGACGTACCTCCACGAAATTGTTAAAAGGCACGATTAAAAATTAATACCTGCTTGACTCCTAACGGAAAAGAGCACGCAGATCAATTTGCCATACAAAGGAACAATTATCGATTTATGCCGCTGTGACAAGAAACATAGCTCAAATAAAGGAGCCTGTTTCTCAATATTGGGTAGAATTTTCGGGGGTTTTTTTGGTTGTATTTTTTTACAAACTGATTCTCATACAATTCTTCTTGTTCTTGTTCTTGTTCTTGTTCTTGTTCTTGTTCTTCTTCCTCTTCTTTTTCTTCCTCTTCTTCTTCTTCTTCTTCTTCTTCTTCTTCTTCTTCTTCTTCTTCTTCTTCTTCTTCTTCTTCTTCTTCTTCTTCTTCTTCTTCTTCTTCTTCTTCTTCTTCTTCTTCTTCTTCTTCTTCTTCTTCTTCTTCTTCTTCTTCTTCTTCTTCTTCTTCTTCTTCTTCTT